TGTAGACCGAAGTCTGAAAGTGAAGTCTAGAAGTAATGTGGCCAGTTTACAGTTAAACCTCATTTATCTCTTGGGTGTCATTGCATTGTCATTGTATACAATACCTTTAGAATTGCTTTGGCATGTCCATGGAGTTGTACCAGTGAAAATTTTTTCATGGAGACTTGCTTAGGAAATGTTTATATCTCAGCACGGACATGAAACACACTGTCTGTAGAATAAAGTACTCAACCTTTCAGACATTGATACCCAGTTCAGATAGACAGAATAATCTGTGAAGGTGAATATGTTTCATGTTTCAAACTCTCATGTTTCAGCATGAAACAACACCATGAGCTGAGTATGTTCCTTTGGACAAGAGGAAAAGAACCTGAAGTTGGTGAATGGTGAAATCTAATTTGTTCAGCTACATATAAGCATGAGAGCCTTTCAGCCAGAAGATTACTGGTGCGAGTCCTTCTAATCTATAAGCAGAGGGTAAATTATCAGGATTTGTGAGGTTTTACATTGCAACCTTATGTTGTGATCCGTATTTTTATTTCTGTATTATCACAGAATCACAGAATGGTTGAGGTTGGAAGGCACCTCTGGAGGTCATCTGGTCCAATCCCCCTGATCAAGCAGGGCCATCTAGAACTGGTTGCTCAGGACCATGTCCAGATGGCTTTTGAATATCTCCAATGTGGGAGTCTCCACACCTCTTTGGGCAACCTGTGCCGGTGCTTGGTCACCCTCGCAGTAGAAAAGTGTTTCCTGATGTTCAGAGGGAACCTCCTGTGCTACCGTTTGTGCCCCCTGTCTCTCGTCCTGTCACTGGGTACCACTGAAAAGAGCCTGACTCCATCTTCTTTGCACCCTCCCTTCAGGTATTTATATATATTAAGAAGATCCCCCCGAGCCTTCTCTTCTCCAGGCTAAACAGTCCCAGCTCTCTCAGCCTTTCCTCATAAGGGAGATGCTTCAGACCCCTTAATCATCTTCGTGGCCCTTTGCTGGTTTCTCTCCAGTATGTCCTTGTCTCTCTTGTAATGGGGAACTCAGAGCTGCACCCAGCACTCCAGGTGTGGCCTCACCAGTGCTGAGCAGAGGGAAAGGATCACCTCCCTCGCCCTGCTGGCAACGCTGTTGCTCACGCAGCCCAGGAGTTATATGCATCTTTGTGTTGGACAGCCATATAAAAAGGGAGATAGATTTATCCTGTGAAAATAGTCACAATGCAGACTGACAGCTAATATCCATTTAATGGTGCAGCTGCACATTTTGTACCTCAGGAACTAAGGTACATGCCTATTGACTCAGTAGGAGTTTATTTTAGCAGGACAGGGTAGTAATACGGTGCCTCAAACTCGTCTTCATATCTGTAGGCTAAGGGCATTCTGGTCCTACATTAGACATGAAAGGGGGTTTCCTCCATTCAGTGGGCACCATTCCAGAGGCAGTGGATAAGTCTAGCTCCAAGGCCTTGAGAAGGAGCAGTCAAACAAGATGGACACCTGCAGATTCCCTGTAACATTTCCCTCCTCCCCTCTTCCTGAAAAAAAAAACAAAGAAGCAACAAGCAACAAAACCAGGAAATTATGGAGACAAAATAACATCTGAGACTTCTTGAGCAAACAGGGAAATTGAATGTCTTAGGTGCACTGTAAGTCTTTTTGTCCCATCTTCTTCCCTACTCAAGTGTGTGTTTTGTAACAGCAATGGTGTTGGAGCCCTCAGAGTAGGGATTTTGTAGCAAGCAAAGTCAGGGAAGGTTGAGAAGATCAAGGTACCACACAAAAGGAAAGTGTATCCCCATGGATAGCCCTTTCCTCCATTGGAATATCCCTCTTTCCTGAGACACACATACACATAGACTTTAGGAGTTCTTTGAAGTTAGAGGAGACACTCACATCTTCTGCCACAGGAGACAAACACAGCTCCATGCCTCTCCTAAGGAAAAAAGAAGGAATTCTGCAAAATCAGACTCTCAGAGTTTAATCATCTTACACAGATTATCATCACAGAGAAGAGAACATATCCCCAAGTAAGGACTTCTGGATTGAGTTTGCATAAATAAACCTCAGGGAGTGAGTGGGTGAGTAAGTCAAGTGAAAGATACCAAGGATAAAAGTGAAATTTTACATTTCTGTGGCTGCTGAGTATGCTCCCAGTTCAGTGGTACTGGGAGAGCTGATGTCCACGTTTAAGAGTAGAATTAAAAGAAACAACGAGCTTAAGGTGAAAGTTTTTATGTGTACTGGACTTGCAGTGCTGACAAGTCATTACTAAAGAGTAACTTGTGCCAAAATGTGAGATGAGATCTTCATACAGCTGCTGATTAAGTGGATCTACTTCCCCAATCATCCATCCAATATTACAATTGAACCATCAGCCAAAATTCATGAGGCAAATTTCATTACATTAGTGGTGCCTAACCTGGAGTTGGCATTCTGTTGTAGTCATGATGGTGGGATGGATAGGAGGATGAAAGATTAATTAATAACACTTCATTATGATAAAATATCAAAGTATGTGGGAAGGTCACCTTGTGTTGTATAATTATATATTCAAAAGAATTTAAATTCTTACTTCAGCCCTTAGTGAATCTGAGACAGCAACGATGGGAAAAACCTCCCTTAAAAATCCCAAGAATCATACTTGTTTTGGCATGACACTGCCTAAGGTGATCTGCAAACAAGGCTGACTTTGCCAAGCTTTCACATTAACACAAGGTTCAGCATACATTTTAAAACATTAAATCAGCTTTCCATTTGTATGGATAGGATTATTTGATTGTGTAGATTTTTGTTAGTTTAAAGGGCTCCTGTATTCTAATGCTGGAGCCAAAATTAAATACTCAAAGTAACAGTATGTTAATAATTTTAAGCAGTCATTCAAAAAAATATCTAAGGTTGTCATATTGTCTGACTTTGGAAGATATGGAGTGTGTCTACCACAAACAATACTAGGTTTGTAGCTACTGACCATTTTGAAAATCAGGCTCAAAACTTACAGCAGAAGTAGATGCTCCTGTCTGAGTAAAGTTAAGCTTTGGTTTTTGTAGAAGCCAGTATTGCCTTAAAGCTTAAAAAAGTAGAGAAACCTCTGAGTTGAAACAGTCTTGTCAAAGAGGCTGCAGTTAGTAAATATTAGGTATACCTGGGAAGCAGCACATACCATTATTTATGATTTAGTCAGAATCAAAATAAATAAAGCCCTTTATGGACAAGTAGCAGGCTACCGCATTTTACTGCATCAGTTTCAATCTGATGTTGTATGGTTTCAAATTGGCCTTGATGAAACTGTTCTCTCAACGTCCCTGTGCAAAGCAGTTTGCAGTGTCAGTTGATACAACATGACCTGAATGGCAGCAAACATGAAGGAGACAAAATGCATGTTTAGTTCATAAAAAATGGTCACTATGTCTTCCAGTTATTGCTCTGCTCTTTTTCTTGATGGCACAGTTTTCTGAAGAGATTATCATGTCTGACAGAAATGTCACAGTTCTCTGTGTCTGCTTACTGTATTTGGTGTGGACCGGCAAGATAGGCAGTGGCATGGAGCTCTGTTGTCTATGTGAGAGTGTCAAGATGTAAAGCACCGTTTTTCAGAATTAACTCGTGTTAGCAAAAGGAGATCCAGATCCTACACCTGCTCCTGTGTATGGGCAATGAGGGGAGGACTATAGCTGAGTACTCCTTGTTCTCCCAGTGTAGATGGGAGAGGTCCTCTCCTATGAAGAGCAACAGTGAAATGATGTCTTTGGCTATCACAGCTGTTAAGGACCTTTATTAGACAGAAGAAAAGGAGGATGCAGAGAGAGGCAGGAAAACTGACGTTTCTCTGTAACCAAAGGCTCCCAGTGAAAACATGGCAATATGCATTGTTTGTTAAGTCACCAAGTCTCAGTTGAACAGTTTGGAAACTGTAACCGTAAGTTTATAGCATGCACTATACTCTGAGATCTGTGCTCCGGAAGAGAGGGGCAGCCTGGCTATCAGTTGACCCAAGTTAGTATCTCAGTTTGCAGTGTGTCTGAATTGCGTTTCTTGGAGTCATCTACCATTTGTTGAAACAAAATGGTACACAACAACTGGAGCCTGATCTTCACAGATGCCCTCATTCTTGGCTGCATCCTTAATTATCCGTCAGTAATCTGTTGGAATGTCTTGGGAGTTTAAACATAAAATTGCACTGTTGATCATACCTTACTGAATTGAACACAAAGATGGCAATATAGCCATACAAATCTGCATTTCGTATTTTACCTAGGCACTATGGGGTGATAGTATTTTATAAATGAAGAGTGAAAATATTTTAAATTGCACTTTGAAAAGAAAAAGTGTCTACTACTCTCTGACAGTATTTTTAGTTGCTGCTTTTTCTGAAAGCATTTGGACATTCAGCCTATTAATTTGTTTCTTTCCTGAACGTATCTTTACTTATGCAGCAGAAGTATTCCTCTCCCTCAAGGTAAACTCTGTACTGTTTCACACTCCATTCTTTACAGAACTTCATATATCCATTGTCATTTATTTGACACCTTAAACCTAGGAGCACATTTCCAATATACAATAAATTTAATTTTGAATTTATAACTATAATAATCCATCTCTAATTTTATTATGTTTTAATGAATTGCATGACATTCAGTTGGTTTTTGTCTCTCTAAACAGCTATTTAAGTATGTTCTTGATAGTGAACACTATTTTGTTGATGATATAATTCATAGGATACTATTAGTTGAGAGAGAGAGAGTTATTTCATTCATGTTAAAGGATGCAATTAAATTTTCAAAAGTAGCATATTCAAAAATATGTCTCATTTGTCCCCTTTTTTATCAGTTTTAGCAGAAACTTGAAAGGTACACTCACAGACTGGATAAAACGTGGAGGCAGAATAAGTGAGATCTCAAAAAAAATAACACATTTTCACCCTACTTTGGCAACTGTCAATGACAAATATAAATTCACATTAATTAAAGCAAGTCATATCCTAAAATTATTTCTTTATTCTTTCAGACCACTCTTCCGTGGAAATTCAGATGTTGATCAGCTAGGAAAAATCTTTGAGTAAGTAATAACTAGTTGCATTATGTCAATATCTCTTTAACATTCAAACACTGTGAGGTTTCTTTGCCATGTTTTTATGCAATAATGTGAGTAGAACAAAGTATTCCTAGAATATATTTCCTATTGCTACCGTATGCAACATGATATTTCCGTGTATTCTGTGTCGGAGTGGGAGGAGGAAGCAACATGGAATATAGTTCTGCAGAACTAACAGCCATCAGCAG